ATGAGTCAGAGGTGACTCAATGGCAGCTGGTTGAGCAGAAAATGACAGAGAAAGGAATGGGGCTGACAGATTTCTGATGACTGGGGCTGGTGTTTGCAGGCCCCTCGATCCAGGGAGACCACCCTCAAGGCTTGTTCCTAGCTAATCCCTCCCATTCAACTAGCTGTTCCTTTCACATACAGGGTGGTCTTGGAATCAGTGGCGTGACCTGAAGTTAGTAGGTACATGTTGGAGATAAAGAGCAACTCTTCTCTTAACCATGTATCTCCCAGGTGTCAGGCTCAAAACAGTCCCATACTATATTGGTTCTCAGAGAGGTTAAGTGATTTACTGAAGATCACACAGCCATCAAGGGTCTCCAATACCTTCAGTCACACTGGCTCTGTCCCCTCCCCCTGAGCACTTCAGGCTTTGGCTTAGCAGGCAAAACACTTCCTGAGCCAGCTCTGATGGCCTCTCTAGCCTGCTCATGCCACGTCCTCTCCGGCCCCTTAAGAACCCTATGAAGCACAGTTCTACTCTGACACACGTGGGACTGCCATGAGTTGGAATCAACTCCACGACAACTGGTTTTTATTTCTGAAAAGAGCAGGTTTAAAAATTATTTTTATAACCTTCAGTAATAGAGAAATGAAACAACTGTTTGATGAAATTTGACACAGCCATTAAAAATGTTTTAAAAGGAAGGACACTATAAAATGATTAAAGGGTCAATACACCAGTAGGATATAACCATAATAAGTATTTATGCATCCAATGACAGGGCCTCAAAATACATAAAACAAACTCTAACAGCATTGAAAAGAGAGATAGACAGCTCCACAATAATAGTAGGAGACTTCAACACACCATTTTTGGTGAAGGACAGAATATCAAGAGCTCAATAAAGACACGGAAGATCTAAATGCCACAATCAACCAACTTGACCTCATAGACATACACAGAACACTCCACCCAACAGCAGCCAGGTATACATTCTTTTCCGACATACATGGAACATTCTCCAGAATAGACCACATATTAGGCCACAAACAAGCCTGAACAGAATCCAAAGCATTGAAATATTACAAAGCATCTTTTCTGACCATAAAGGCATAAAAGTAGAAATCAATAACAGAAAAAGCAGGGAAAAAAAATCAAACACATGGAAACTGAACACCACCTTGCTCAAAAACTACTGGGTTATAGAAGAAATTAAGGGGCAAATAAAGAAATTCACAGAATCAAATGAGAACGAAAACACATCCTACCAGAACCTTTGGGGCACAGCAAAAGCAGTGCTCAAATGTCAATTTATAGCAATAAATGCACACATTGAAAAAAAAGAGAGGGCCAAAATCAAAACATTAACCCTACAACTTGAACAAATAGAGTGGCAAAAGAAGCCCTTGGGCACCAGAAGAAAGCAAATAATAAAAATTAGGGCAGAATTAAATGAAATAGAGAATAGAAAAACAATTGAAAGAGTTAACAAGACCAAAAGCTGGTTCTTTGAAAAGATCAACAAAATTGATAAACCACT